ATGCATCCCATCAGGTCCCATGGACTTGTGCACCTTCAGGTTCCTAAGGTGTTCCCGAACCTGATCTTCTCCAACAGTGGGCAGATTATCATTCACACAGACTTTGCTTTCTAGGACTTGGGCAGTGTGACATGAGCCCTTGCTGGTGAAGACTGAGGCAAAGTCATTGAATACGACTGTAAGGTATTGTGCTGTTTGGGTTGGCAAGGCCAGTGGACTAGAGTCTACCCGAAGTTCCCTGAAATTGATGGGTATTTAAGAGATGCTGGACTCCCAAGTGGGAAAGTTGTAAAATGGTAGTCTAGTCATTTTGACTGCAAGGGGTGGGGCCTGGGTACTGTCTCAATCCATAACTCCTGCATCTGGGTGTACAGGGAGGAAGTATGTGGGATGGATAACACATTGGAAAATTTTGGAGGTACATACTCATCTGGGATCCTGGTTTCAGGGTGCCAGTTGTTTATGTAAGGAGAATCAAGTCTGGATTGGATTGCGAAACTACTAAGAAGGGTGGCTACAACAATCCCTGAGCTTCGGTGTGTAACCCCAGTAAAACTTGGACAACGATTCATTAAAAATGAATGGGTATTTTTGGGAACAGCACTGACTCACTCTGGAAAAAAGGACTCCACGTTGCCCAAAACCTTGCAAATGAAGGTATAACAAGGACTGCCTGTATGGTGTTGAACGGAATCTGACCTGACCCCAGTGTGACTTAGCCATTACCACAGACCTACCTATGGAGCGGATCACTAAAACAGATCACCAAAACCTGCAGGAGAGTGATCAGATCCAGCATCAGCTAATGGAGCTGAATCTACAGGCAAGAAAAGGGCTCACTGTAGAGCAGGAGCCCAGTGACACAGTAACAGTCTTCCACCTAGCTAAAAACACCCCACAACCTTGTGTCTGGGGAGGCATCATATGCACTCTAAAGACTACAGAACCAGACTACACTGACCACTGGTCTTACTGGCATTATTGCTTTTAAGGGCTTTACTATGCACATGCTGTACTGTCTTTAATGGTCAAGATGGTGCTGGCAATGGTAGGAAGTCAGAGTGCAGCTGCCTGCACCTCTCACAGGTAACACCATCCTGTAGAATACCAAGTTTGGATATGAATGTCGGGAAACTGTGATTAATGGGGAAAAGTAACTATGAGCAAGTTTTTTATTTGGGAGGAGACTGGGGCAGAGAAAGGGAGGTACAAAGGCAGCAAAAATGAGGGTCAAGAAACAGAAAGGGATAAAAAGATAAGCAAGTCGTGCACTTAGGGCTCTCTAGGGGTACCTGACAGTTAGTCCCTGTGCTTGGTCATCACAGCCAGAAAAGTACAACAAATCAAACCTGTTGTTTCCACATGAGTCCAAACTGCTTCTGCAGTCAGGAGAGTGGGAGGGATGAGAAGGTGCTTTTCCTGATTAGTAAAGAAAAACCCAGACAGATGGATTAAGCCTCCTGGTATCACTGTGTTGGTGCTCATTCAAGGCCTGACAGTGTTTGCACTTCCACCTCCTAATTTCAGGCATTCTTTCATTCTGCACCAAGTGAGTAAATCAGTACAACTAGCTAAGTCAGTATTAGAACAAGGATAACATCTACCCACTTCATTAAACTGACAACAAAAAAGAACAGTCAGTACTGACATCTGCTGCTTCTGTTATATGCTATCATGATACTGACTTTAACCACAGTATTTTTCCTCTCTGGCTAATTTTCTGGTTTTCACTTGTCAGTACCAGAAAAATAGATTGGCTGTAAAAAGCCAGCTTGGAGCTTTAGTCCTTTCCCTGCAAGCAAGAGAGACTGATACCTGCTCTTGTAAAGCATGACTTTCTGAGGAAAGACAGAAAAGAAATAAAATCCTTGTAAGCTTTGGGGGACATTGAAGGGACACTGTTTTGATTTTATAAAAAAGCCAAAAAAAAAAAAGAAAAGGAAAAAAAGCTCTAGCCTTTCAAAGACAGCTAAATCTAATGTCAGCCCCAGATTTTTATATAAAAACATTTCAGTCTTTGCTGTCTAAGATTTCTGCATATTGCTTTTGCAACTGACTTACAGACTGCATAATGGAACCTAGCTTTGTTCTTTCCAAAACAATTCAGATAATTATGTTTGTAATTCTCTCCAAGTAGAAGAGAAATTCTCTTCAAGAATGAAAACTGCTGATTTTTACCTCCGCATAGGCTCCCTCTAATATTTGTTTTGCTAACCAACTGTAAACTAAGTGTTGATATTATTGCAACTATAAGCAACTACGTGAGTAAAAAATTATCCTTAACTAAGAGAAGAGATTCAGCATGGAGGCTGATTCAACCTTCTTCCAAGGAACACTTCAAAAAGAATCACTTGCAGTCCCTACCAGGGAGCGCCCATGCACCACGAGATGGATGCACTCACACAGGGGGAATTGAGAAACAGAAGTCCAAAGAAGATTGAGTTTCTTCTAAAACAAAGTTACTCCTGTACTAGCACACAGTCTGGCTCATTCTATGCAGCTGAAGAAGCACAAATGATGCCACCTTTTAAACTCATTTGCACATCTAACATGGAACTTTAGCAGTTTTTGGCATGACTTCAGGGTAAAGGAGAATCCAATTTGAAATTGAAACATACACTGAGACATTTAAGAAATCCATCTTTAAAAGGTCTAGCATCAGGTATAGAGATGCCCCCTCCAAAACCCTCATCCTTACTTATGAGAGAACAGAGTATCAACAAAGTAATTTACTATAATTAAACAAGACATCTGATTCTTAAACCTGTGCTATAATCACATCACTCTGCTTCTTTTAGCGTTCTCTCTTACATACCCAAAATAATGTCCAATGTGGTAATATTTTATCCTCAATACATCCATGAAAGAGATAAGTACTGTTGTTTCACAGATAAGAAAACTATTTAAGACACCAAGACTATATAAACAAATGTAACTCATTTGTTTACATAGTCCTCCCCTGCTTAGGCTAGGGACCGTTCTCTGGTACTGTGGCCAAATCATATGAAACAGCTTGTACATATTGTCAAACTCTGTTCCCAATAAAAAACCAAACAAATAAAAAATTACTTTAGCCATACTGCCATTCGGGAGCCATCCCTAGCACCTTCTGTGTTGGAAGTAGTACCTGGGAGAAAGTGGGTTGGTATGGGCTAAAATCATTCCAGAGTCTGTACCAAAAATGAAACTGCATGGACAAGTATACAGTTGTGTGGACCTGTTCAACCAGCACAGGTGTAACCAAAAGGCAGCCATTCATATTGCAGAACCAGTAGCCCATAAATCACTTGTCTAGCCAACTAGTCACCTAGACTCTCACTATAAATCAAGACAAGAATCACTATAAATAAGTGAAGACAGACAAGCATCTTCAGGAAAGTGATCCATCACACCCTAAAACAGGCAATTCCAGAGGGCAGTTCATCTCACTGTCTTGTTCCATTGGCTATAAAGGGAACTTGGACAACTAATTTAGACAGCATGTGTAACAGCTACACAGACTGAATTCAGTGACATGAACAGCCTCTGAACACACAGGACATGTACAGCAGAGCAAAACCAAACTTGCTCTTTATCCTACTGATTAGTCTAAGTCTTAGTACTATATTACATTTCACCCCAATTAGATGCAGGAAGCTTAATACAAACACATATACTTGCCCTTCAAAGTGCTCAGTTCCCAGTTGTCTTTTGGTCATATCCAGTTCCGACTGTAGCTGAGCTGCTCTATTTCTGAGCTGAGTAAAATCTCGACTCTGCACAGCACTGTAAAGTCCATACACTTTAATTAGATAGAAACTATAATCCTCTAAGTATGTTACCAAATACAATTATCCAAAATTAAAAGGGCAGCTATACAATGCAATTGAGATTAAGAACATTTTTTGGAGTAAAATGTAACACTAAACAGAAAAATCTATTAGTGTACAGCTGAGGAATCAGAAGCAGGTTTTGGTATCTCCTGCTGTTGAAGTAACGAAGATACATTGGCCATTTAAAAATACAGCTATATATAAAACCATCTGTGTGTATATACACTTAGGAAGAATGAAAAAACCTGCAATATTCTTCTGATCATTTACTCACAGTTTATTTTCTGCTAAAGAAAGCTGTTCCATGAGAAACTGAATTTCAAAGTCTTTTTCTTGCTTTGCTATCTGTGACTGAAATTCTTTCTGACGACTGGACAGAAGCAAAGATTCCAGGTTTCTTATAGATGCTCTTTCATTTCCCAGTTGTTTTCTCAGCAGCTCTATTTCAGAATGGGATAACTCACACTTGCTCTGCAGCTAAACAAAGATTTAAAAGTTTTACCTATCTCTTATGGTAACCTTTTTTTTTTTAAAAAAAAAAAAAAAGCCTGAGATCAATGACCAAAATTTGCTCTCACTACAAGATGGATGATTAGTGTTATATTTGTCTTCAGTGAAAATCCTGTCTCAGATTTATAAATTCACCCAATGTCTATATCAGAATATAAATGTACTTGATAGAAATGTCAAAAAGCTATGAAATATATGGATCAATGGATACAGGCTGTAGACAGAATCATTAAAGAACAGAAGGGAAGTTTTACATTTTTTTTGAGGCAAGAAACTACTGATTAGCCATTTGCATGCAGGAAATGACACCTGGTATAACAAACCAATATCTGCATCTCCAGCATAGTGAGATTACACTTATTTTATTTAAAGGAGCATCACGAATAAATTTTTGAGGAAAGGAAACATCAATAAAATCCAAGATGACATTAAGTATCTATATATATATATCTTGGGGGAACCTAAAAAAGAAGAATACCCATAAAACCTAGTATGTTACACTAAAAAGGGAAAAATGGATGTACCCAAGACATAACTACACACACACAAAAAAATAATCCCAGAGACACTGAGCCAGGAAAATCTGTGTTGAGTCAGCCACAGAGACACAGAAAACTGCCTGGTTTAATCTTAGCGTAAGTAAAATAGATGCTATTTTTTCTTCATCTTTTCATGTATATATTTTAGTATGTCTAACTGAGTTCATTTGGTGTACTGCAAACATTTTTATCCATATTTTACTCAAACCCAGTTTACATTAAGCACAATAATGCTCACCCAAAGGTCATGGTAAACCTATGAATTGAGATATCCCACCTCTCCAGCACATTCTTCAGAATTTTCAGATCATTTGTGTGTTCAAACCAGGAAGATACTGAGAGAACCTGAACCCCTGTTCAGGTCATAGACCAACAGGGGAAAAAGCAAAAGGAAAATACAAAAGGAAAAAGCAAAAGGAAAAAGCATTTTTTCACTTTCCAAAGCAAAACTCAAATGATTTAGTTTTACCAAACTAAACTAAACGGTATCTTCAGTCTGAAAGATCCAATTTTCTACTCACTGTCAATCAAAAATCTAGTTCCTTTGCCTATAAACAGTTTTGATATTCTATTTTTGTATTTCAGAACAAAAGAATACTGAAAACTGTAGGCAGCATAAGTTATACAAAAGTATACAGTGTTAGAAACACTGAAAGAACAATATTACTCAGCTTCAGGTTTATTTTCCACTTCTGTATACACATATGCTGCAATCTAGCAATGCAGATTTCTGCACTGGAATCCTATGTAAAATAAGAGCCCTATCTGAAGGTTATACATGGCTGCTGAAGGACTACTGGTTGAAAGGTATGAAAAAACTAGTGAAAATTTCCCAACCTCAGACTTTTCTCCAATTCTGCAGCTAAATTTCTGCATTTTTCTTTCCTTAAACTGTTGCTGCTCTCCACAGTCACAGCAAAACCCTTCACTGACAATCTCACAGAAGCATCCAGGAAGGCTTAGTCGTATTAGATCTCATGAAAGCTTCAGACAAACATCATATGCTGAAACTTTTCCCTATCGAAAGCATCATAGAAGATTCCACAAGCACAAAAAAAGGCATCAAACATTTGGCTGGAACAAATAACCAACTGTCAAACAGCAGCTTTACCAACGGTGTACAGAAAAGGCATAAACATTAAAAGAGAATGCTGGAAGCCTAGAAAGAACAAGAAAGTATCTTTGCTGGAGCAGAGGACAAACAAGACATCAATAGAATCATACTGAAAATATCTGAATAATCCAAGTATGTATGAACAATTTTTCAGTTTATCTAAGCTGAGTTTATAAAAATTTGCCTATCAAACATTAATTTTGTAGTTTTTGTAAAAATCAAGGTCAACAGAAATTGATTTTCAAGAGAAATTAAGACTATTAAAGAGATATTGATAATTCCTAAAACAGTCAAGCATTTTAAAGTCCATGTCAAGTTTCTTTGCTAATAAACTACTCCAGCTATTCTGCTTACTAGTGACTAGATGTAAAATCCGAGACATCTTTCAAGAAAACAACTGTAATTTTAAGTCCTGACTTTTGAGTATTCGTAGTAAAACTTTGCAAAGCAGTGTACTTTTCAAATAGTATACAGCATCTACCCTTTCAAGAGTAAGCCCCTGAGGAATGCTAAATTAAACATTCAAAAAATTGAGACATTAATACCTAATAAGGATTTCTTTGATCATTTAAGATCCCAAAGTAGACACAGATCCCTTAAGTATAATGTTAACATAAACATAAAGAGAAGTCCAGCAGCAGCAGTTCTGACTAAAGGCATTCAGAATTTTGTATATTTAAAATTAACGTAACCCAAGTTTTCCCCTTTTGAAAAATGGCCATACCTGCCCAGTGACACTTTTATTTCCAGTCACTTTTAACAACTTAATTTTCAGTGGGAGGCAGAATGAGTCTGAGATGTTGACAGAAGCAAAGGGAGAGACAAAGCACCGAGACTTCCTTGAAAGACTGATTAGGAATGAGATCCAAAGAGGTGATTGTAGGGGGAACACATCATATTGATTCTAGCTCTGTCTTTCCCTTAAAAAAAAAGCGCAAGGAACACAGGCCACTGCTAAGCACGTTAAGATTTTTGAATAAAAAGTTCTGTGTTTTAGATATGTGCCTTACACGTAACTGCTATGAACCTGAATATGACATCTGGAATTCTGACCCAATTTGTTGACACAGTTTTCATGAAGAGGCCTGTTTATTCCTATATTTAATAGCAGGCATGTGGGAAGGAATTAGAAGGATGAAAACTCCACTCATTTGAGGCTCGCTGGACAAACTAGGACCATGTACCAGTTTTATTACATTAAAAAAGAGCCAAAGTCTGACACACAATCTTCCTGTGCTGTTTTGCTAGTTACATTCTCATCCACTTTCTGAACAGCAGCAGTTCAGTTCCTCTTGAGTATCTAATGTGCATGTACATAGCCCTCAGTAGCCTATGTGATATTCAGGAGGCAGAGATAATCAGCAACAAAAACTGTAACAACACAAAACCAGAAGGCAGTTTATATATTTGTAACCTATTTCCAAAGTCTTGCTGTGCATTTCCCTTTAAACTCTTCAGATTCAGCAGGGAGAGGATCTTTGGGACACCTGAAGCAGTGGAAAAAAGGTTGAAAAGCTGGAAGCAAGAAAAGCAGGGACAGGAACGTAACAGGTGACAAAGCTCTAGATATGTTTCAGGTATGCTATGGAGTTGTGTGTGATATTATGCCTTCAGTCATTCCAAACACAAGAGCATTTAAAAACTTTTTTTCCTTCAAATAGGACATTATTTTTTAATATTTTTTTCCAAGTGTGACTAGTGGAATTCTAGTCGTGTTATTAAATAATCTCAAACACCACACAGTTCATTGTCGCAAGTATCTCTAAAATATGAGAAGTGGCATTAAGCATAATTTTAAACAGCTGCAAGCTTAAAATACTACCAGACCATTTCAAGAATGAACTATGGAAAGAACAATTTCAACTTACTTGCTCCATCTCTGTTTCAAGGGACTCAATTTTCTCTTTCAACCTGCGGTTCTCAGACTCCGCACTCATCAGTGCCAGTCTAACAGAGTTACAATCTGCTTCAGCTTGATGGCATTTTGCTTCCCAACTTACTCCTTGTTCACAGGCTTTGTGGTAATTCTCCAAAAGCTCACAGTTCTCTCTTTCCTAACACATAAAGCTTGTTTGTTTAATAGTTTACAGTAAGCTTCAGAAAATAGAGATATCTATACATCTACAGGTATGACATGGTATTGGATGTTCTCTTTCCATTGAAAACTTTGCCATTTAGCCAAAACATTGTGAGACTTCTCAGGAATCGGTGTTTTGTTCAAGATGTCTGCAACTTAATGCTCAAAAGATATCTGTTAAAACGGCCAAATTAACATGACAAATATGAGGTATAGCAATATATTGCAGAAATATTTTTTAAATGTTAATCCCATATGGCAATACAGAGTCCCAAGTCTCTGTATTATTCACTATCTGCATTCTTAAGTTTAATAAACGCATGCACTTATAAATAAAACACAATGCAATTTACTTCCTTACTTGTGTACTGCAAAAACAGCCAAGAAAACTTGCTCACACTCTTAAAAACATGTTAGTAGAATGCAAATAAGTTTCAGCTAGGAAGCAAATTCTTCCACAGAAATATAGTTAACATTTCACTTTTAGATGAAAGAACAGCTTCTATTAACAGGTTTAATCAATATACTCACTTTAAACTTCAGTACACTTTTCAGCCTGACAATATCTGTGTCTGAATTCTGGGCTTTCAACTTCGTATCATCAAGCTCATTTTGGTAATTTGATAGTTTTTTGTACAGTACCTATGAAGAAAGATTTGTTTCACAAGGTTAAAGTATACTGTTTACACCTTCACAAAAAAACCAGAATTGGTGTGTATCTAGCACCTATAGCTTTATTAACTAGTTATTTAGACACTATACAAAATCTAAACCATGTATGTTTCTATAAATAAAATTTTGCATATGTAAAAATTATTTTTTGACTTACAAATAATGCTAAATCTTCTTTAAAATAAGAAAAATGTCAATAAAAGAGTGTAGCACTTAAGAAGAAAAAGACAGCTGTTTTATTTAGTAGCAAGGTAGTCATAACAAAACAACCTGCCCCATCTAAGGAGCAGGGCTCAGAGTCACTTCCCTCTTTTTTACATGTTACAGTCTCTTAAAAGCCCACATTTGAAAAAGCAGAAGGCAGATAAAACCAGAATTAACTAATTAAGTGGTTATCACCTAAATAAGGAGAAATAAAGCCACAAGTATTAGGAGAATGCACACAGTTCCAGCAACTATCCTTGAGAAACAGAACAGAATGAAGAAAAAAAACCTGCAGAAAGGCTGTCTTGAACTGTCCTGTTCAGAAACTCTTAATTCCTTACAAAGTTACTATGAGAACAGTCAGCTGCTAGAACCAGCACGGGGACTGGGGAGGGGAAGGAAAGTAGGCTGTAGTTTTTTTGGGAAACTCCTGTTCCTACTGTGAAAAGGCTGTAAATTGTTGTAAGGGCTTACTGGAAAGGTTCACAGAACCTAACTGAAGAAAAGGGAATGCTACTTTAAATACTTTCATTATCACCTAAATTAATGGAAAAACCTAGAGGAATTACAGAGGAAAGCCTATTAAAAAGTAGTTGAACCTGTGATGCTAAGACTTTTTGTTTCTAACTGCCTCTACAAGCATCTAGGCATTGCCAAGAAAACCATGAAGCTTTTAAAAGTAGCTAGAAGCAACAGGGGGCTGTGTTTTGTACCAGTCGATCACATCAGTAACAACTAGGAGAAAGTTCAGAATCGTGATTCCCTGAAGTAATCTCTGTGAACAATCCATGTTTCTAGTGACACTCACTACCTACCTTTGGTGGTTAAAGCTACTAGGACCTCGACTTTTCTGCCATACTCAAAGAAGGCGCTGAAGAGAAAAGATTAGTTTGTTTGAGAGAAGAGTTATTTAGCATGGCAGTTGTCTCACCTAATTTTTGCAGTGCAGAATTAGGCACCTGATTTAATCTAGTTAGCTACGCTTCCTCTGCAATGAAGGGAGAGAGACAGGTAAAATGAATCACTTCAAAAACTGGGATGGGATGAATCTCCTTCTGGAGGACTTTTCTTCATGTAAAAGGGAGCCTTAATGCCTGAAAGCTTTTATATAGCTAAAATCAGTTGAAGTTAATCCGCTCCTTCAAAACAGGGTAGCACTTCTACAGGAAGAGAAAGCCAGGTGAGCAGAAAGTATTTTCAAAGACAAAGATATCCTAAAGAGTGGAATAAATGCAGAGAATAAATAGCAAATATCAGAAAACCTAAATGAAGGCAAGAAGTTGAACAAAAAGAAGAAAAAACAGAACACTACACAGTGATTAACTACTACAGGTATTAGGCTTAATTTCTAGCTGCTTAGAAAATACATTGACGCATGTACATCGCGTGTGTGCATGAGGTGACATTCTAGTTTTAAATATTTTAACTACTTTCATTAGTAACTGCACAGAGATAAATAACACAGTGAATAATGTAATGTTGTATTATAACCAAATATTTCCAGCATCTTGTATCCAAAAGCCATTTTAAAGGTATGTAAATAAATACAATACTACTAATAAAGTTTTGAACCATATTAAAATATGTACTGTGTTAATTTTTTAGCGAGTCAAATTCATAAGCTCTGGGCCAGTCACAACACAGCATAAGAAACACTTACTGCCTCCTTTATAGTACTTTACCATATAAGCAATAGTCATAAATCCTACACTGCTTTTACACACAAAGGTCAGAAAAAAAAAAACATTACTTAGCTCTCCCTCAAGATAAACATCCAAATCACTGCATGAGAATAGCTGGTCCTCTTTACACAAGAAAACTGAGCAATAAGGGAAAAAATTAGAGTTTGAAAAATGAGCTTAAAAACTAGTTTGCAGATTTACTTCAGATAAGGGCCCAACAATTCTATGCACTACTTGAAAAATACACAATTTTCCTTTTGATTCAAGGGTTCTCTGTACAAATATACCTGGTTTTCTTGCTTAATATCAGAAAGAAGTTCTTGTAACCTGTCATTCTCCTGAGCTAATGATTCTCTGTTCTTGTTAGTCTGTGCAAGTTCTTTGTTGGTTTCTTGTAGCTGTTGTTGCAAACTGGTGATATCTTTCTCAAGGACACAGAGTGCTTCAGCAGATTTTCTAAGCAGCAAACAATAAATACTTCAGGTATGACAATACTGCCCAACCTAATACAAATGATAGCTTTTCCAGTGGTTAAGTTTGCAAGGCGTGAAACAAAGCTGTAACACTTTAGCTTTTAATAGAGTAAAAAAAAATTACAATTATATATTAGCACATCCTATGATTCAATTTTTAAGTTAATGTTAAAAATTAATAAAAATTTAATAACCATCTTGACAATTTATCCTTACTTTATGGAATGCTCCAACTCAGAAATCAGAATCTTGAAATCTGAAATTATTCTTTCCTTGAAAAGAAATACAAAATTAAAATAAACATCTCGCCACTCCTCAGTATAAATGGGGGGAAAAAAAAAAAAAAGATTATTTACATTTTCCTTTTCTTCGGCTAGCCAGTTAATTTAAATATTTAATGAAAACTGGATTGTGGTTTTCCAAGTTTAATCATGTACTGTTTAGAACTGAAAATTATGATAATCTAATTTGGCAAATAAAGGAAGAAATATTAGTATCTTCTGCGGAATATAGTAACTTTAATTACATTTTTTTAAATCCTTTGTGGTTCTAAAGATAACATTTGGCTCACACTCTCAAAACTAAATTATGTCATTTGTCTATTAGATAAGTTATCACAGCTTTTCTATAATGAATAAACTACCAGAGTCTGGTAGTTTGTAACTGATAAAACAAGAATTCCATCACTGTATTTCCATAAAGAAGGTACCACGAAGTACATAACTTTACTCCCTTGTCTTCGGATACAGATATTAAAAGACACATAGATAAAACAAGGGAATGTCTTCCACTGGAGACACAAGAGAGGTGATAGACAGCTATCTCTTCTCTAAAATGGACACCATTTTAGAATTTACAGTTTTTAAAATACAGTCAGTGCTTATGGCAAGGTGATTACAACCTGTCCTGCAATATGTATTTTTTAAGGTTTTGTCAAAAACCAGTGCAAGTTTTTGAGTTAACAAACACAACAGTTAAAGAGTACCTTATTTAGTTTAACCTAAATCAATATCCAGATGACTTAAACAATGGTTTCAAACTAAGCAGCTTCATTATATAGTTTGAAATCACACTGTGCAATAAACTGATACAATTTTCTTAGGTAAACTAGTACCTTAAGGTGAAAATACTATAATTCAAATACTTCTTCAACAACAACAAAGGCAATACTATTTGGTGCCCGGCATGTCTAACATCAGTGGACCCCAAGGAAGAATTTAGGCAAAATGTTATGATAAACAAAATATTATACTGGTTAATTTACTCTTCTCCACTTCAGGAAAGTACTTAAGGTCTCTTCTCTTGGTAAGTATAAACCATACAAAGCACCAAACTTGACATGCTTAGCACTGCTCAAACATGAGTTTTATTTTTGCACTGACATTGGAACAGAAGTAGGTCAGCACTGTTGAGCATAGTTACCAAATAAGATATGTGTGATAACCCAACAGATCCTTTCCCTATTTATCTTTTGTGACTATTTACGTGTTAGAACATACTTTAGTTGCCAGGCTTTCCTCAACAGTAGCAATCTTCTCTCTTCCTTCTTCCACACGGTCGTGCAAAGTTGCCTTCTCTTTATCAAGTTGTGCAATTGTTTCTTTCAAAGCACAGATCTCCTCTTGTTGGACAAGATTTCGTCTTGAAAAGTTATCTGGACACAAGAAGAAAGGTCTCATTTTTATTAAATCAGTCCATTTGAAACAAAAATTCTTTTTGATACACTTCTAAAGCATAAAAGAACATGGCAAAAGCGCCCCTTCAAGAAAACACTGAAGCATGTACTTTTTCAAAGCATAAATAAACTGACTAATACTTACAGAACTACATTCTTCCTTAGATCAAGGCCTTAAATTACTTGGCTGAAAAAAAAAAAAAAAATCTATCTTTAAATAGCAAATGTTTAGATCATTAAAAATAACTTTCTTGGGTATTCAAACAACAGAGGCTTAAACAGAATTACAATAGACAGAAGCAATATGTAGACTACAGAGTGCAATGACTGATGAAATAAAAGAAATTGATGTCCTGATATTAGCCAGTTTTTCTGAAATTCTTAATCACTTTTACATAAAGTTCATTTAAATAAATATGAGTAATGCATTTATAAAATTCAACACCATTTAACAGTTGCAAAGATAATAATGAAAAAAGCACTACAAAAATAAAATTCTAAAAGATGTCTCTCCCTATCTTCTTTCAGCTAATGAGGTACTACACACTACATTTACCTTTAAATGCTCAGAGAATCAATCCTTATATGATCTACATACATCATCTCCACAGACGAGAAACACAGAAACCCTTCTCATAGTGAACCTTACATCTCATAAAAACCATGCAGGCTTCAAATTACTCTTTAATGTATCAGTGTAATTTGGCTTATTGAATGATACTTATTAACAACTTCCAGGAGATAAAACATCCAGACTGAAATTATCTTTAACTCAGTCTTTCGGGGACATCATAGCATATATTCACATCCTATTTTTTGCACAGAACTTCTCCCTATTTCAAAACACAAGATAAAAGGTGCTCAAATTTCCACTCTATATTTTTGGATGCATGGCTCTCAAACCTGCTAAGACAGTGTTCAAACCTGGCTCTAAAGAAAATTATGATGGAGCAACTAATCCTGGAAACCATTTCCAGGCACATTAAGGACAAGCAAGTCATCAGGAGCAGTCAGCATGGCTTTACCAAGGGGAACTTGACAAACATCAAGACATAGACAAAGTCTATGATGAAACGACTAGCCCGGTAAACGAGGGGAGAGCAGTGGATGTTGTCTACCTTGACTTCAATAAGGCCTTAGACATTCCCACAAGATACTCATAGATGAGCTGTTGACATATGGGCTGGATGAGCAGTGAGGTGGATTGAAAACTAGCTGAACAGCCAAGCCCAGAGAGAGGTTATCAGTGGTACAAAGTCTAGTTGGAGGCTGGTAACTAGCGGTGTGCCCCAGGCATTAATACTGCATCCAGTCCCAGTTTACATCTTCATTGATGATCTGGATGATAGAGCAGAGTGTACTGTCAGGAATTTGCCTGATGACACAAAACTGGGATGAGTGACTGATACACCAGAGGGTCATGCTGCCATTCAGAGGGACCTTGACAGGCTGGAGAAAAGGGCAGATAGGAACCTCATGAAGTTCAACAAAGGGAAGTGCAAAAGTCCTGTGCCTGGGGATGAACAACTCCAGGCACCAGTACACAAGATGGGAAGCAGCTTGGCAGGAAAGCTGGGGGTCCTAGTGGACACCACGTTGAACAGGAGCCACCAATGTGCCCTTGCTGCAAAGAAGGCTAATTATTCTACTTCACTTTCTCCCCTCGCGTTATTAATTTTCAGTCTCTGATTTCTTGCACTGTCCCAACTTTCCCTGGTGCCACATCCACACTCTGTTTCTCCATTCACTGACTCCCAATCTTGCTGTTTCATACTCACAGTCTCCTCCGACAACCAGTCCTCCTCGTTGCAAATTCTTGTCCAGCCAGTATCCCTACTCTTCACTTGTCTCCTGGCTCTTTATTAACTTTAATTCTCCTACCTATTTCACTAGGATTATTCTGCCTTATCCAAATTGTAATCTCTGTATCCTCTCCTTATTGATCCTGCAGTTAAAACCTCTTAACTTTCTTCTCTCAGGACATTCCCTCCCCACACCTAAACTGTAGTTCCCCTCCTTCAGCATTTTCCACTGTTATCCCTGTGGTGACAAGATAATAGCACAATACAGACAGTCTCCATTCATTTCAAGATTCTTTGCCTGGACTTGCCTCGTAGTAATGAAAAAAAACCACAGAATCACAGAATGGTTGAGGTTGGGAGGGGCCTCTGAAGATCATCTAGTCCAACCACCCTGCTCAAGCAGGGACTCCTAGAGCACATGAACCAGGATTTTGTCCAGATGGTTTTTGAATATCTCCAGGGAGGGAGATTCCACAACCTCTCTGGGCAGCCTAATGAATCTAGATTGGAACATGCTTCAGTCAGGTTGTATGAGACTTCAGATACCAAATTCTGAAAAGTCTTTATTCAGCTTTAATGAATTGTTTTGGTTTGGTTTTTTTTTTGAGGCTTACAATATGCTTAATTTGGACACATTTCCTGGGAATGATCAAAAGCATGCAACAACACACAGACTGACAAGCCTAGCAAACAAAGTCCCTATTTTACTGTACTAGGGGTATAGGACTTTTAAAACAAAACATGAGAATTTTAATGTGGACAAAAAATCTTTTACTCTACCCTTCTCAGAAGCAGCTTAAACACCTTAGCCAAAGCATTAAAAAAAATTAATGGTTTGGGGTTGTGTTGGTTGCTAGCCAAGGGCTAGCCAAGTGAAACTATCACACTTTGTATGGAATGCTTATTCATTTGAGCAAAATATTAATCTCAAATGAAATATTTAAATCCAAATAACCAGAGTATGAAATTTGTAAGTAATAGAAAAAAATATATTTTAATAGCATAAGGCAGCTCTAACATTAGATGTCATTAACTATAGGTTAACTTTATTTTCCCTTCACAAATTCAGCACTGCATTTGAGAACAGACTATGTCAACTGCATCTACAGAAAATAATAAAAGACTTCAAACACAATACAGTTGTAATTTTAAAAGTGAGAACATACTCCTTGGCACTACAGGAATAATAGTGTATCCACCTCCTTTACTCCAATAATATAAAAAAAGATGCAACATGCAATATAGGATATGTACCATAAAGGATGTTTTCCTGATTCCACCATCATCATCTTATGATGCTGAGAGGTGCTATCACTGCATTAGGGGGTCATAAATATAACTGGAATGCTCAGACACTGCACACCGGTACCAACACACATTGTTCAGCTGACAGTATACAGTGTCACTGAAACTTACTTTCAAAAGCTTTATTACATAATTTTAAAATGCAAAAACCTTCCAACGAAAATAGATGTTTTATACTTGAAATGTCAAAACTGTCAAAAGTATATTTATTTGCATTCAATATTTTTTCTTTCAATTCATGAGGGGAAAAAAACCCATATAATATAACAAGTAGCCTATAGAATTTTATTTAAAAAACTGTATCTGTCACTCACCAATTTTTTCATCCAACAGCATAAATTTCTCTTGGCTAAATTGCATTTCATATTTTTTCTTAGCAAGGCTTTGCTGAGTCTCTGAAAGACTCTGTTCTGTCTTTTCATTCAATAAACTGAAAAAGCAGAAGCGTTAAACAGGAAAAGTCATAAGTTTATATATTTTTTTACTTTTTGAAATGTCACTAAAATTGCAAAAGTTAAGAAAAAGTTAGATTCTTCTGTCTATTTTAGACTATTTGGGATATTTTATTAACGTTGACCTTAAGCTCTGGATATTACTGCCTGAATACTCCTGTAAAGAATCCCAGAAAAGTAAGAAGAATTCTTTACAACAAGTGGACATAAAAAACTACTGAAAAATTATTAAAATAAAAATAATCACTTCTGACATACATGGAACGCTTGACCTATTTCAAGTTATATCCAAGTCATACGTTCAAATCATGTAGTAATGCGAAGGATTCTCAAACTGAAACTGAAGAGAACTATCAGAACTATCTTTTCCACCAAAACTTTTGGTTTTCATGGAAAAGAAAGTATTTTAGTAGCAGCAGCTAATCTTCAACAACTCAATTTTTACAGCCTTCACAAATCGGACAACTTATAATAAAGCAGCAATAATTCAGGACTGGATTTGCAAAGGGGTTCATGTTATTTTAAAAATCATAGTATCCTTAGAAATGTATTGTGGGTCAGCACAATATTGCACACTAGCACCCAGCATTCCCATCAATCAAAATCTATCAAAAAATCCTGCAACACCCATGTGCCAACTACACCAGTCACTTGTAAGGGGACATAGGTTTAGGAGAACATTTGCCTAACTGACTTATATTTAAGGAAATACAAGAGGAAAAAGTCACAGTATCCTCTCTTGCAGTCTGTTCGCTCTGTAGCCTAGTTCAGTCTGTGATCTAGTCCTTATCTCTCCGCACAAACTTCACACGTGCTTCATCTTTTTCTCTAGTCAGTAAATTATCCTTTTTCACCTTGCTCTCACTGACCTAAGCTTTCTTCCCTAAAGGCTTTGATTGAGTCCACTCCCACTACGTACTTCTGAACATGGTTAGGAACTCCAGCTGAGCAGCAAGCCATAAACCCTATGCAAGGCTTCAGGTTTATTTCCTCTTGTGAAAAAGCTCCAAGACCAAGAAAAAGACGTGTGAAACTAACTAGACATGACACTCATTAGTTTACACATTTGCTTGCCTCTATAAAAACAATAAAAATGAAAAAAAAAATCATATGCAATTTACCAAAAAAACATCAATCCCTGCAGCTTCTAATAGAAGTCTAAGTCAGAGTGAATTTTACTTTTTCACTGAAGACAGCTTTCAGCATATGATAGAATCACAGAATCATAGAATAGCATGAGTTGGAAGGGACCTTAAAGATCATCTACTTCCAACCCCCCTGCCATCAGCAGGGACACCTTCCACTAGACCAGGTTGCTCACAGCCTCATCCAACCTGGCCTTGAACACTTCCAGCGAGGGGGCATCCACAGCTTCTCTGGGCAACCTGTTCCAGTGTCTGACCAGCCTCACAGGAAAGAATTTCTTCCTAATATCTCATCTAAACCTTCCCTCTTCCAGTTTAAACCCATTTCCCCTTGTTCTATCACTACCTGTCCTTGTAAAAAGTCCCTCCCCAGCCTTCCTGGAGCCCCTTCAGGTATTGGAAGGCCTCTATAAGGTCTCCCTGGAGCCTTTCTTCTCCAGGCTGAACAGCCCCAACTCTCTCAGCCTGTCCTCATAGGAGAGGTGCTTCAGCCCTCAGATCATCGTCGTGGCCTCCTCTGGACTCACTCCAGTAGGTCCACATCCTTCTTATGTTGGGGGCCCCAGAACTGGACACAGTACTCTAGGTGGAGTCTCACCAGAACAGAGTAGATAATAATTAGCAATATATCATAATATCAACAAGCCAAGAACATTTAAATATAAATAAACAATGAGGAAAACAATTTCATTCCAAAAAGGATGGCTCATATGAACAACTACTTCCCCTTTGAGCTATGTAAGTGATGAAAACCAATGAACATAGGCTGACATTATTTATCAAACTAATACAATTATATACTTTTACTTACCTAAGAGAAACATATTCAGCTTCCTGTTGGCTCAGCTCAGTTTCAGAGTCCATTGCCCTTCTAGTCTGTCTTTTAATTTCACTTTCCAGAGAATCAATGTTGTCTTTCATTAGCACCACTTTGGAGACCTGTTCTAACCTTTCACTATCCAACTATAAATATAATTAAACATTAAAATTAAAAAAAGATTATTTATACATAGACTTTCTCCTATTAATGCTACTCTATTTTTAGCACTAATCTTTTACTGAAGGAGAAATGTCCAAGTATCTCATTTACTCAGGGCCTGACTCCAAGTCTACTGAAGGTAGTTGGCAAAGAGCTGAAATGTGATTTTCACTTCCTTTGAAGGACAATAAATTTCCTGTCTTTCAGATCTCTGGGAATATTTTCATTTATTATGCCCAAAGGCAAAAATGTTTGGCATTGATCAACATGAAAAGTTTTCAGTGTAAAATAACATAATAGAAAACATTATTATGAGTGTAAGAAGGGAGAAATTGCAGTTCAGGATACAACACTACTAATTATGGATTTATCCCTCTACCAAGTTATATAGCTATGCTGATAACTGGATAGAGAAAGCACTGTAAAACATTTGCATAAAGCACTATATGACCAAGTTACCACCATGAGGCCTTTAGTCTGGACTCAGAACAAAGAACAGGTCCAGAAACTCTTGCACAGACTCTAGCAAAGCTAGTCTGAAATCTCAAATTGAAAGAAAGTTATGTTTCATTATTATAATGTTTACACTTAACATTTAAAGAACTGTCCTTTCAAAATTATTTGAAATAGCTCTTTTAAGGTAAAAAATTCTCACCTCATCCCTGTCCTCATTTACTGATTCTTTCAGTACTAATTTCTCTGTTACTATAATCAAAGGTCAGACCACTGAAGACCAAGTCAGTAAGGCTGAAATAATTCACCAATTACTCTCACATGCAAAACAGCCTCAACTTGGGGAAAATGAATTTCATTTATTACTAATCAAATCAGAGGAGGATAATGAGAAATAAAAGCAAATCATAAAACACCTTTTCCCCCTCACTTCTTCCTGGGCTTAACTTCACTCACAAATTCTCCACCTCCACCCACCCAGCAGTGCAGGGGGACAGGGAATGGGGGGTTGTGGTCAGCTCATCACATGTTACTTCTGCTGCTCCTTCCTCCTCAGGGGGAGGGCTCCTCACACTCTTCCTCTGCTCCAGCGTGGGGTCCTTCCCATGAATGACAGCTCGTCATGAACTTCTCCAGTTTGGGTCCATTCCATGGTGTGGAGTCCTTCAGGAACAGACTGCTCCAGCACGGGTCCCCCTTAGGTTCACAAGTCCTGCCAGCAAACCTGCTCCAGTGTGGGCTCCTTTCTCCCCAGAGGCCAAAGGTCCTGCAAGGAGCCAGCTCCAGCATAGGCTTCGCACAGGGTCACAGCCTCCTTCGGGCATCCTCCCGCTCCAGCAAGGGTTCTTCCAGGGGCTACAGGTGGACATCTGCTCCACCATGGAGCTCCATGGGCTGCAGGGGGACAGCCTGCCTCACCATGGTCTTCACCACATGTTGCAGCGGAATCTCTGCTCCAGCTCCAGCACCGGCACCTGGAGCACCTCCTCCTCCTCCTTCTTCACTGACCTTGGTGTCTGCAGAGTTGTTTCTCTCACATCTTCTCACTCCTCTCTCCAGCTGCAAAATGCGCAGGTTTTCTTT